AGCAGTAATGAAGCTGCCTACACTATCTTCTGTATCTATGCTTGTCAGGGATGGGGGAATGCCAGGCGGTGTGGTGAGTCGGTTAAGAAAGTTTTTATTGGGCTGGAGATTTGGATCAGCTGAAAGGTCCCTTGTTTAGTATGCACAAAGGCTTGGGTTCTGCCCTCAGCACCAAATAAATTATAAGTGGTGGTATAAACCTATAATCCTAGCTCTCAGGAGTCGGAGGCAGGAGGATCAGAATTTTAAGGTCATCCTCTGTTGCATAGATTTCTAGGCTAGCCTGGGCTGTGTCAGACAGTGGAGAGAGAGAGAGAGAGAGAGAGAGAGAGGGGGGGAGAGAGAGAGGGAGAGAGGGGGAAGGAGAGGGAGGGAAAAGAAGAGGGAGAGAGAGATTTTATATTGATTTAGATGCTTATCCCAGTAAATTGGGAAAATGGCAAAAATAGAAACACAAAAGTAAACTAGTTACAGTCCAACAGCCTTAAAATAGTATTTTGCTCTTTTGATAAACATTATTGTATCTTTAAGAGCACAGTGAAACAAATACCAGTGTTTGCCTTCTATAGAGCTAATAACACTGTAACATTATGTCACCCTGTATTATCTTATTAATTTTTCCGTTACTGAGACAGAATGCCACACATAAGCAAATAAAGGGTGGAAGGATTTATTTTGGCTCATGGTTTCTGATGTGTCTGTCATGGCTGGAGGGGGCATGGTAGAGAGGAAGCAGAGAAAAACTGGGAGGGATACAGCAAGAATCCAGGGCAAGACAGAGCCCCCAAGAGCTGGAAAGATGGCTCAGTAATTAAGAGCATAGACTGTTCTCACAGGAACTGTGTGGTTCCTAGCACCCACAATGGAGGCTGACCACCACCAGTAGCTTCAGTCCGGGGATCTGATGCCCTCTTCTGGCCTATGCCGGTAATTGCATGCATGAATGCACATTCCCCCCACCCCCCACCATAAAAGCAAAACAAAACAAAACAAAACAAAACGACAAAAACAAAACAGAGCCCCAAGGACACTCCTGCTGGTGAGCAATTTCCAACTAGGTACCACTACCCTTCCCCACTCGCCAACAATGCCATTGTGTTATAAATTCATCACAGGGTTAATCACTGATTATGTCAGAGCCATCAGATCCAACCAGCTCTGGAAATGCCTTTCACAGACATACTACATGCTCCCTTTAGGAAATCCTTATGTGTTTCTCAATCCAATCCGACGGACAGTTAAAATCCACCATCACTCGGATCAAAGGCCTCAGACACATGTTTCTGGTGCTATCTGTTGTTTTCATTCACCTTTCGCTATTGGCAGATACGGAAGGTACTTTTAAACCTTTTGAAATGGCATGAGACATGACACACTTTTTTTTTTTTGTAGAGAGCTTAATGTCCAATATCAAATGGAAATAGTCTCCTGTGGGTTTTTTTTTTCTTTTTT